TACAACCGAAACGACTCCCACTAGATAGCGGCCCCTTTCTCTCTTTTTACAGCCTCATGGACGGACGAAAGAAGGGAAGTTACAGAACGGGGCTGTGAAGGCTCGCGAAGTAGACAGCAAACAACAGCTTTTCAGCCCCCTAACCTTGTATTGTATATTATTCTAGCGCTAGGCTAGCGCGCCCCTTTCTCTAATAATCAGGTCAGCTTTGAAGCTGGCAGCTCTGCAATACTATACTAGTTGTAGGGCAGCGGGAGCTTTAAGAATTTAATATCAAGTAAAGGGGACTCTATCATGATCTTACGAATCTAAAGATCTCAAAATGGAAGAACGAGCTTTTTTGCTCGCCCCTCTCCCTATCTCTAAAGGGGCGTAAGCACTGAACTTGATAGGGGATGGAATTCATTCACTTGCATTATACTGCTAGCACTACAAAAAGCTTCGGTCTTAACGCCCTGACTACTGCTGTGCAGCCTTTCCTCGGGTTCGTAGAGTCGAGTTTCCCGTTTACCCACAACGGAGAAGCCGCCCCCACCAGGCAGGCGCCCACCGGTCATAACGCACTCTTCGCACAACAAATCCACTTTGAAGTTGACTGATTCGCTCAGCCAATCGTCGGAATGTGTACGAGATACCATAGGGGCCCAATATCTCAATAGCACCTTGTTCTAAAGCTTAGAATGAGACTGAATATCCGAAACACAGGAACGATCTGACTAGAAAGTCATTCAAAACTTGATCGAAGAACCAGCGTTTATTGAAGAAGCTATAAAGTCGATTACAAAAAGTACTAGTTTGAAAGGCTCGTTGGAATTGATTCGCTATGAGATTGACATTATACGCAACAGAAGCACCTGAAGTACTAAACAGAATAGGTATTAGTTTGGTAATGGTTGGAGCAGCAAACTCGGATTCGGCAAGAATCTCATTTTTTGGTAGTACGAAGGGGGAATTGGCCCAAAAATTGGATAGGGGTCAAGACGCAGTCGGGCGCCGGCGGCTGACTCAAGTGCCCCCCGAACCGCGCGAAATGGTCGCCTATTACACGGCTCACTAACTCTGCCTGGGGTGGGGGTACCTATTATTCGTCGGCGGTCCAGCGCACCCCTACTTAAAGCTGCTTAATTACGAAGGAAATTCTTTCTTCATCGTGAGAGTTCCCTTTCGTTAAGTGCATCGAGCCAGGAGTGGACATCATCATCATCTGCAGACAAATCCAGATCCTCTTTCATCATTAGCTTAGCTAAAGTGGAATAGTATGACAGGCTTTCCGGAAAATGAAACGAAACCCGCTTGATCGATATGAAAAAGATGCGCTCAAAAAGACCTCCTACACCCCCCTCGCCAAGTGATCGAGTTTAGTCAGAATTTGCTCTATCAGTTGCTCCCGCTCCGAACTGACTTCCTGGAAAGATAGGATTGGGCAATTCCGCCGGTTCTGGAGCTGACCTGATTATTAGAGAAAGGGTAAAGGGCTTTTTTTTATAGAGGTTGAGTAAGGGTGGCGGAGCTTGAGGCTTCTCAGCCGCAGGAATAGGTAACGAATCCTCCAAAAATGGAATGAGTGAGCAATGACTACCACAATCAGCCCTCTCATCACTGACCGCTATTTTTTCTTGGTGGGAGTGAACAATGTTTTTTCTGGCGTTCCTTTCTATTGATGAAGAGGTGACCTCGTGCTCTTCAAGAAATTCAGGCAAAGGCCCCCCCGAGCCCGAGTTTACCGGGGATCTTATAGGGGCACCCAATCAAGGCCGCCACCCTCGCCCTTTAGAGATAGGGGCGAAGCAGCTCGACCGATAGAGAGAGGGGCGAAGCAGCTCGACCGATAGGGAGAGGGGCGCAACAAAAAGTCTTCAAAAAAAGGCGTCGTAGGCCTCAAACTCATCCGGAGTTGGAGAATGACAAAACACTTTATCAACTAGAATGCATCAACAAAACTGCCCTTCCATATGGATCGTCGTGGCATGAACTTTCACTTTGTCAAGAAATTTTGGGACTTCCTATTGATCTTGATTAGTTCCAGCTTGTTGAGAGTTCTCTTTTCTTTCTAGACCGGACCCTTTTTTAGACCGTCTCCTGAAACACTTGCTTATCCCGCATGTGCTTTCGGAGCCCCCCACTCATTTAATGAGTTGCTTGTGATTGCAGCCATTCCCCAAAAAGGGAGAGAGGAGGGAATCGTCTGCTCCCGTTTATGTGACGAACCGAAGAACCATCGTTAGGTCCCGAATTCTGCGAACCACCGGATCCAGACCAAGATCTGATCTCCATTACGTGGTACGATATATCTATCGATCCGAAGAACTTTCAGTTGTAAGTCATCTATTCTGCTCCTATCTAAAGTGATGCTAGGTTGCTTCACCTTCACCCTTCACAAAGACAGGTGCCGGTGCGCTTCGCTCGGCCACATGATGAACATGTTTTGAGCTAACTGCATGTCGAGCGCTTAAGCAGAGCTTGTGGTCACTCGTTCCTCGCTTGTTCCAATCCTAGCAAAGAGCCTCAGATCTGATTCTACACTACATATGATATTCAATTCCGGCCCTTACTAGCTCTTCGCTTTGTTGTACAAAGAGCATGCTCGAGGGGGCTACTACGCTCACCGCGCACTTGCATCACCACCAGAGCTTGGCTACCGCTTCGCCCAGCTCCTACGCCTACCACGAACATCGAATCATCACGTGGCTGCTAAAGCAAGCTAAGCTTCACACGGCGGCCAAAAGACCCTCTCACGGCCGAAGGATCCGCAATACGTTGGAGAGCTTTTAGACCCTAAAACGCCCATTCTCAACAAGTTCCGAAGTGATCCTCATTCTCACCGCTGCCTTCTTAAGCCGAAAGAAAGCCGGGCAAGAATCTCGGTAGTACGAAGGGGAAGCAGAATCGTATCTAGCAGTGGTTCTTCGGATCGATCACAGATTCTCGGCCCCGTCGTTTGGCTTCCACTACAGTTGACCTCTCTTGTTCTCCTCCCCCTTACACAACCGGGGGTAGGACTCATGTAAACTTCTTCCTGTAGGTCCCCGTTCAGGAAGGCATTTGGAACATCTAATTGGAACAGAGGCCAATCTCGATTCGCTGCAATAGAGAGCAGGAGACGAACAGACTGAATCTTGGCTACCGAGGTGGGGTAAATACGGGCTTCCTCGTAATCGAGACCATATGTTTGAGTCAAGCCTTTAGCTACTAGCTGTACCGACCTTTTCCTCCTTTCTCCCATAAAGCTTCCCTTCACCCCGTCCCATATCCAATTAGTAGAGATCGAGATGGGGAGACTCAAAATAAGACAAATGTGCATTTCCTCTCTGAATCGAGAGGTATCAGATCAAAGTAACATCAGTTATGTATTCTAATTTCAGTGATTTATGGGAGAACAAAGTGGATTGTTGAGCCAATTCTAGCATGAGAGGACCCATGAGACAGAACACTGTTGGATGCATTCCTTCGATAGCAGGGCTTCCGCCCATCTCAATTGATCAGTCTTCGGTCAGTAATCTCGTACTCTCGACCGGCTCGAACCACTACCTTATCCATGTTCCGGCTCATTCGTATGCTCATCCTATTCATGCCACCAGAACCTGTAATAAACCATCATTTCAAACCATCCTGTTACATGGAATCTTTGGATATCAGTTCAAAGGGAGCGTCGAACACCGAAAGTGAAGTTGCTCCTACCTACAGCAGCATCCGCCTTTTTTCGGGGGATCGGGAAGAGGCAATGGAATTGTGAGACCGATAGGGAGAGGAAATCAGGTGTGAGGTCTGAGGTCAATGGTAATATGTCACCCTGCTTTAATGAGAGTACTCTTTACATTAGGAGCTTTGCCCAGCTGAGCTAGGCTACTTCCTTAATTCAAATAATCAAGTATAAAGGTCAGATTAATAAATAATAGAAATTCAGTATCAAATTCAGTTAGCAAGCATTGGCGATAAACAAATTTATGAAATATTAGATCGATTTGGTCGATTCTTCTTAGGCTGATGAGAATAGGCTCAGGCTCTGTACGGCTTATTTAGTATTTTTTTTATGGCGCCCTGTTAAGCGTTAGAGAAATTCCGGTCTTAAGCAGCCAATTTTTCCTAGTATAGTCGTCATTGGATTACCATTCCATTATTTGTTCTGGGGCTCGTATAAGGCTTCGGCCTCCCGATACGAGAGGGACGCGACGCGAGATGATGATGGGTCAACCGCGACTGGCGTTGCTGGTGGAACTGCTGCTTTCCCTCGGTGAATAAGAATCAATCCTCCAATTGTTCTTTGGATAAACGACTGGATTTTGATCTGATACTTCATTCCTATCTGCTTCGTGGATTAAGCGGTGGTGGTGCCTCTCCCACTGCTTATTGGTGGGTTCGAATATGGCACAGGAGTTGCTGACTAAATTCAGGTGGACACTGCAATTATGCCTCGATCGAATATCCAAGAGATGACTTTGTATACCAACTGTACTGCAGCTAGCTCAAAAGCAGATGGATCAACAATGGTAACTCAAACAGGCTCCAAAGGAGTATAGCTTTGTTGGGGGTGAACTTACTGCTCCTGGCTTTCCTCATAGGGATAGGTCGACAGGCATCTTTTTTGGTTCTCGAGGTAAACGACTGATTCTTAGTCAACTCGGTTAGCTTTCTCTGCTTCCGGTGGTGGGCCAACCACTGATGCAGACAGAGGCTAGGTAATGTCTCTCCAACTAGCTCTACCCTAGTCACAGGGTCAATAATAGGTCCGGTGGTTCTTCGACTTTTTGTTTTGATTGCTTTCAAATTCAAATGGCTTTGGATCTTTTTCTTCACTCGAAGAAGGGGAGCATTGAAATTTGGAACTCCTAAATGGAAATCGAAAAAAAAGTCTCCTTAAGTAAGACCTACCGGTCTTTACTTGCAACTCTAGTCGAGGTTCTTCTATCACTGTAGTTTACTGCTCCTCAGTGCTATAGAAAAAAGGGGTCGGGTCGCCGGACTTGCTGAACATATACCCTGCAAAGAGCAGGAGCTTCGTTCTTTCAAGACTCGAACAAGACCTCTCAGCCGCCTGTTCGAGAAGGAAATCACAGACGACTCTCTGGATAGAGTGCGTTGGTTGCAGCAGCTGTTTTGGATTTACGTATTTTTTAATAATAGCAAGAGACAAGTCTCGATTTGACAACTCGACAACGGGGCAAGGCCCGATATCGAGAGGAGAATAGATAAGAGGTCCGCTAGTTACGATCTAGCACTATGTTATAGTAACGAGACTAGACTAGACTGCCCTGCCTCCTTCTACCCACGGACAACTACTAGACCGCCTCACTCAATATATGCTCGTTTAGTTTAGATCTAAGGAAAGGCGCCTTGACTGACGGGCTTGTTCAGTCTACATAACCTGTCTCCACAACACAGCTCGGTTCCTTTCTCTAAACTCAAACCGAGACTGGGAGAGCACACCCTCGGACCATATTCAATGGGGATGTCAGGCTTATGTACACGTACCTTCAGAGGGGATCGATGCTAAGAGCATCTCTTGCTCGGGGGGTCTTCCTTATAGTATTTAATAGACTTTAGAATCTCGAGACTAAGCAAATCTTAGAGAGCCGGGATGTTCACTTTATAGAGATAGAGAACGTTTCTTCGTTAGTGGGAGCTCAGGTCAGGAGGACCAGTGAACAGGACTTTCAGACAAATATCACTATACTTTTAGAGTACCTTATGTTGAAGCAGATGAGCTAGAGGAGAGCACAATGATGAGCCCTCCCGTGGGAGATGTTCAGGAGCCAGAGCCTCTTAGGATTAGGAGGTCTACTCGAGTCATCCTGAGACCCGACTATTTGACTTATATAGCACATGGAGTTGCACCAGATGAGACTCCGTGGAGTAAGCATGGGCTTTGCTTAATGCTATGTAATACATGGCATGGAGCCGTAGATGAGGAGATTTATTATCTAATTCGTAATAAGGGGGGTTTGAACCTATCTTCTTTACCTAAGGAAGGTTGCAAATGGATCACTGTAGCGGTGCTCGACTTCTAGCCCTTGCTTACTCTAAGATAGAAGACATCGATTCTCTTTGTACAGTTAGTTTAGCTCACAACTATTCTCGTTCGGATCTCACTAGCAGCATCACTTGATTGAAGAGCCAAACAGGGATGAAGAAAGCTTTTTGATCCCGGAGAGAGCTCTTGTCCTTCCAATTGGATTGGGAGCTTTTTAGATTGCTGGAGCTGCAAAGTTACCCGGACTTCCAGTTCTTCTTACTTATGTATGGCTCGAATCTAATCTAAGTCGTGGTTTTCTTCGTGAGGGATCTGTGGTAGCCTCCTGCTTAGGTTAGGGGTCACCTTAGCGATCTGCTTTCTGAGGATACTGGGTCTTCCGCCTTTTATTCTTTTATCAAAGAATCCGCAATGAAAAGACCACCTTGAAGTATGCATCCATATGGCCTAGTCGCCCCATGAGTTTCTTCTTCTAGTCTATAAAAGGTTCAAGTCCTTCTCTGAAGAAGAAATGTGCCGGTAAGCAGACGCCGCCACTTGGCTTAGTAGAAAGAGGATGAAAGTTTTCCACCTACTCCTTATTATAAGTCTTTCATAAAAAAAACAGTGAATTTCACCAAGGTGAGCCTATAAGAAAAGAAGCTTTAAATGAAATTATTCTGAGAAGTTATGATAATGAATGAAGTGGCCTTGATAACGTGCATTATAGCGGTCATGGTCTTGGTGCAGATTACCCCGCCTACCCCTGTAAAGAACTGCTATTATAAGAGAATGAATTAAAATATTATATCATCCTCCTATCTTCGACAAAAAGAACTGTTTTCTTCAATGAAAGAAGAAGGTTAGACCGTTGGGGAAGAAAGACAGATTTTGGCTCCGAGGGGAAAAGCATTGGCTTTCTATCTATCTGTATTGGTCTTTTCACTCCTATACGTATACGGATTTCTTATTGCATAGCAGAGTCAGTCGGGATTCATAGAACCAAAGGAGTAGAAGCATTCAGAGTCAGTCGGGATTCATAGAACAAAAGGAGTAGAAGCATTCGGAAACATCCTAACCACCTGGGCCACAGGTCGATCCTATTGCATGAACCTATGATGGGCCCACTGCTAACCAAAGTGACGATTGAGTTCGTCAAAGTCTTAGATTGGCGACCAAGTCTCTTATCCTTCTCATTTCCAAGGGAGGGGCCAACAGTCCCCGTAGAAAGAAGTTAGGTATGACGTTCAATTGGGCGTCAAGGTACTCTTTCCGTCTTCACGGTAAAGACAAAATCTGTGCTATTACTTTAAAAACCTCTATTTTTTTGGAAAAGCAATCGAGAAAGAAGTATGATTTATGATCTTCTGCTAGCCGAGTCTCAAGCGCTTAATTCTTTGATAGAGACAGACCAACCGAAGCACTTCTGAAGTTCGGAAGAAAATCAGGCTTTGAGGGGAATTGATAGAAGAATTTCAATTTACATCTCTCTAAGTAAGAGAATCCATCTGATTAGCTAACGATGAAGAAAACTGGTCTGACTGTAAAGAATCCGGCTAGAAGCACTAATGGCAGTCCTATAGGTTGATGGACTAGTTAAGTAGGACGTTGCGATCCTTTCTTTTTCTTGCAATAAAGAAAAGCCCCTTTTTAAAAGAACTAGAAATGGGTTTACCGAGACAGTGAAATATCCTGACTATATCCTAATCTCCACCTATTCTTTGCCCTGCCACCACTTCTGATTCAAAGACCAAGTATTACCAATTCCCAGAAAGCAAGCAATCTCCACTGGAGCGGGAATAACTAGAAAAGTCATCGTCAACTGCTTATCCAACTCGTTCGTACCTTTTGTAACCTCGTTGGCTTGGATTCGTCTCCGTCTCAACTCTCTTCCCTTCGCGTACTCATATGTCCCCCTCCACCTTTACTAATTGGTATGATGACCCGTAAGAGGAAGCAACATAGTCATATTAGCCAGAGCACCCTAAATCGGCAACAACAAGACCAACCAACCAAAGAAAGAGGAATAGAAAACGGGACTCGATTGAACGTATCAATATACATTTGCTTTCTATCAACTAAAGTCTGTTCGTTTCTTCTGTCAAAATGAAATGGTAAGAACTCATCTCGGGAAAGAACCCCTTTTTCACTCATTTCGTAGATCAAGAAATTCTACACTGGAGCGCAGGGCTTCCTCTTTGAGTTACAGCCCCAGCGGAACGGTCAACTAAGAGTGAACAATTAGAATTGACTAAAGAAGCTAAAGGGGAACACTCTGAGATTCAGAGTAAATCAAATGAACGTGAACGAGTTGGTCCACTTGCTAATCAGCTTGATCAAGTAGGGCGATTGTTCGAGTAGGTCCTATCGGCTTGACCTCTTTTCATCGGTAAATCATCACTGTCGTCTGTCAAAAAAATCCATATACAACCAGGAGTGATCGAAGTGCTTCCTGAAACAAGCACGAAGAAAGAAAAGAGATAGTGAATATGCTTTACCCAATGAAAGAAGGAAAAGGAAAGAACAGAGAACGAGTAAATGAGTGAAAGAAGGAGAATTAATAAGTAGTTAAGGAGAAGAAGAAAGAGTGAAAGAAGTAGAATTAATAAGGAGTTGAGTCTTACAGTTCACTCTCAAATAGCTTGAGTTGAGTCTTGACTTTCAGTCGAATGAATAAGCTTCAGGGAATATCATCAAAGGATTGAATGAATTGACTCTCCCTGTAAAGAAAGGATAGGAAAAGGTGAAGGCAGAGAAAAAGGAAGAAGACGCAGACAGAGTTGGAAGTGAAAGAATCAAAGGAAAGAAAAGAGATAGTGAAACCCATTTACGCTTGGTGAGTCAAATAGCATTGAGAACGAGTTAAAGAAGAAGAACCCGAGTTTACAGTTCTAGAATCAAAGTCAAGACGAAAGCAAGACAAGAAAGAAGAATTAGACGGAACATTGATAGGGAGAAGAAAATGAAAGATGAATGAGACTTGACAGTCGTAAATGAATTCAATCCTGAACCTGAACCTTATAGAGAATGACAGAAGGGAAAAAAAAAAGACGAAACAAGATTCATTCTCCTTTACAGTTCAAGAATGAATTGATTGAAGAACCTTTACTGTCGAGTAAATCAAAGAAAGAAGGGAGACAAGACAAAGACAAAGACTCCCGATTCATTCTCCTGATCCTTTAAGGACCATAAATTCTAAAATGCTATCCTCTGTCTATTTTTTGGGATAAAATCCCTATTTTTGAGTGTAAGGACCATTGATTATTAAATCGATGCTTTACCCTATTTTTCGGGCCATTTTTGAGGTAATTCGGATGAGAAGAGAGAGACTGAACAGGACAGGACCATTACTTCTGAACCGGAACCTCTATGACCTGACCCTATTCTATTTACCTTATTCATTCTGTGAATGTTTGATTAATCCACCACACCTAAATGGTGTGAAAGTTATCTTATTTATAATCAAATGAATTACAAGGATATGGAAATAGTAATAAATGGAAATAACAATAAATGAAAATAACAATAAATGGAAAGATACCTATGATAATAAGGAAAATATTAGATATTTTCCTTATAATAAAATATCAAATATAATATATATGGTAAACTATAATTTATTACTAAATATCCTTAACACCCCACCGCAAGCTAAGCGTCGGATTTAAACGAACGTGAAGCTTGAATCTGAAAAATTCAAAGAGGTTGAGAAACACTTTTCATGAAGATGCTAACAACCCTGTTCTTGACCATCAAAAATTTGCAGAGGGATTGTCGCTCAGCGGTGATGCTGCCTTGGCTTCGGCGAGAATATGTTTAACCCATGAAGAGGGATTGTCGCTTAGCGACGATGCTGCCTTGGCTCTAGTGAGAATATTTCTAACCCCAAGAAGTAGAAGGGGAAACCTAGAGCAGGGGACAAAGACAATGTTGAAGCCAGAAGAGTCGCCACATTGGGCGAAGGAGCCAATTTTGGCGAGAAGGGCAGTCGGAAGAGTCGCCTCATCGGGCGAAGAAGCCAATTTTGGCAGGAAGGGCGGCGGCAACTTGGTTAGCGAATAGGCCAGTGCGGCACCCAGATTCCGAAGGTAAATCTCTGCAAGAGGTTGATAGGTTTAGGTTAGGGTTTATGTGAAGGATGAAGGTTGATTGGGAAGAAAATGAGAGAGACTATATTGGCCAAGGGGAAAACCGATTTGGTTGGAAAAGGTGAGGTTATATGTACAGAGTATGACGAAAGGTGATTTGGAGGTCAATAGGGTGGAGCCGAAGAGTAATCAATCGGCTCCAACTACGGCAGCCATGAAGACTGCCCCTGCGGCGTCAAAACCAGCAGGGGTGGTGGAGAAGAAGATTAGAGGATTCAAAAGCCATTGAAAAGAAAGGATCAGGGTTGTTAAACCGAAAGGGCTCTGATACCATGTGAATGTTTGATTAATCCACCACACCTAAATGGTGTGAAAG